ATTACAAAAATATAATCTTTATTTTCAAATATTATTATATTAAATTTTATTTAAATATTTTAAATATTTAAAAAAATGAATCAAAGATATATTTATAGTAATAATTGCAGACAAATTTGCCTGCAATTGCTTACCATTTAAGGGATAATTCTGTTTTTAAACTTTTACAATACTTGATAAGAGTTTTGCCACTATATGTTTCTAGAATAAACCTTCTGGTTTGAATATTGAACATCTTGAAGAGTTTATTTAGCAAAAAAGTTTGACCCCAAAACAAACTACTTGTAAATAATTACAATATATTTTTTTAATATATACAGTAGTAGCAAAATTAATCTAGTAATAAAATTAGCTATTTTTATTCTTAAAGTTGTTTATCAAAAAGTATAGTATTCATATTAGCTTTAGCCAAATAAAATAGAATTGTTTTCTTTAAAAAAAAACAAATTATTTTGTTAGATTTTTTTATTACATTTGAATATTTTGCAATAAAAAAAATTAAATACAATCATTATAGTAAAACTATCTAATTATTTATGAACATGAATTATTATTTGATTATCGTCTTGTACAGATTTGATTAGCCTTTATTTTTTTTAATCTTTCTATAGTATACTTATGTCAATTTGATGTATTAACTTCAAGAGTGAATTTTTAATTGTTTGAAAACTTTGGATTTTTAAGTTCTATAAAACGGGCATAGTCTAAAAATCATATATAAAACGAGATCTTTTTTTTGTTTGTCTGATACAATAATAGATATGTATTACTTTTGTTTTATTTATGCTTATTATTTTTTTGAATTAGATATTTATTATTATTATTATTATTATTATTATTATATTTTACAAATAGATTTATTATGACCACAGCTATCGGTTAAGACACATAATGATAATATAAATATACATTAAACATACATTAATGCTCCATACAAAATTATTTAACATTTATTCATTCGGTTGATGACTGGAATGTAATTCGTTTGCAAATAATTTTTTAAAGGGTAAAAAATTACCTTCGCCACCTTTCCATTGAGCTGCAGCTTCATCATCAAAAATAGCAAAGCCAAAGTGACGATAAGTTTTTGGTAAATTTTCGGCACCACCAGCATATTCCTGGGAAATTATTTCGTAAAATAATTGAGCTATAGTCGAAGGTGGATTGGAAAAGGAACCACAGCCAAAGGCAGAAAGAACTATACAATCATGACCTTTTGGGACATGAAGGTATTAGGGAATTAAAAAAACCAAAGATCGAGTAAATATTGAAACAAACAAATCATATTTTTTTAAAAAACCAATTTATTAACTAAATACAAATTTCTTTGAATTTTCAACAAAGGACGAATGCTATATAAAATAAATAAAAAACACACACCATTATCCAAACCAATATTCAACATTGAACGAATTTTTTGGCGTGTTAGTTCCTTTTCATCATCTGCCAAAGTGACATTACCATCGGAATCTCTTACAAGAGTCGGTTGACACAAAGCAGCTACCGCCTGAGCAAAATTCATAAAATTAAAATATAATAAATTTATCACTTGCATAGCAATAACAAATAAGTATAATGGTATACCACAAACGACATCTTTTCTGGGACTTCCAAAAACATATAATTTTCTTGTTCACTTGCACGAATCACGGCAGCATTTGGACAATAAATTCCACCCGCATTAGGAATAGGATACCATTCATACCGTTTTGGTTCAAGATATTGAAAAAGATTGGTACGACGGAATAAGTTCTCTTCTTGAGCACCGGCACC